GATTATTGACCCAGACATCCCATCTCTCACTGTGTACAGGTGGGAGTCCAAAGGTCCAGACGATATTGAAGAGTGTACAGAACACCACGCTGCACACTTGAATCAATTTCAATATAAAAAAAAACAGAACACTTGCACTGACCCTGCAGAAAATGCTCTGTGGCACTATCCATTCATTGCCCTGGGGGGTGACGCGTCAACAGCTCTGCTCCTCATTTACACTTTGTCATAACTTTAGGGCATCTCCACACCCCACTATTGAACATGGCCAGCTGGTCACCTGCACCCCCTATATTGTAAATGGCCAGCTGGTCAATTTAAGATGAGGTCTCTAGAAATTGAGCTGAAACTACAAATCACAATTGCCCGAAGCACCTCACTTGTGGTTTCATATCACAACATACTCCACGCTCTATAGATTTTCCCTCCTCAAAGCAGGGCGCTTCAGATTGTGACCAGATTTGATAGCGTTATCTCAGTGACCCCCTAATGTCCCCAAGCAGCCCACCATGAGCCTTTGAGCACAGAACCATTACCAAAATATTTGCTTGAAGAAAAAAAAAAAAGTTAACTCTACTCCCACAGAGACAGACCAGCTCCAGTGAGGGGGGCTGTTTTTAACTGTACAGCTCTTTCACCAACAATATGCCACAGTAAAAGCCACCTTTCATAGTACTGGTATACAACAGAATGGAACTCGGGTGTGAGGAAGCGGTATGTTTTTGGGCAAAGAATTCCCAGTTTATATCCCCGTGACAGAAAAGACAAACATCCTGCCGGAGAGGTAGGAGTGGAGAGCGTTAGTTGACCTGAACTTGCTCCTTTACAACTGCACACTGAAAAGCAAAAAGAGAAGGAGAGTTTGGCTCTTCAGCCTGCTCCAGGTGCGAAGAAGCCTCAAGAAGCTGAAACTTTGCTTTTTTTATTCCTACTTTCCACCTTTATTTGCACATCTGACCAGACCTACCAACACCTGGCTCTCCAAATTGAACGGCAGACTTACAAACTCAGAGTGGGATAAAAAAAAACCCACAGAATAACTTGCAGTCCCCGTGTACAGCCTTCCAGAGAGCTTTTATGTTATTTTAAGCGCTATGTTTGTCTCAGTCACTAGGTCTTGTTTTTGTGCACGAAAGGGAGAAAAGTAGCTATTTTAATGGTGGGAGGGAGAAAAAAAAAGAATGAAGCGGTATTGCACCTACCTCTGTAATTACGCCTTTGTTTTGTGTGTGCCAGAGATTCTTTCACTGTTTACTGTGCATAATCATGTCAACAGCTCCCCGGAACCGTGTCTTTGTGCCTTAACCCCTTCCTATCCACAGAGTGTCAGCACTGCCACAGTTTTAAAAAAAAAAAAGGGTGGAACAGAGTGTCTCAGCTGCCTCCAGGCCTGAGGGTTTCTCTGCGCCGGGACGGGAGGTTTCCCAGGGTTCGGTCTCGGCGCGTCTGTCCACAGCTTCTGGCTGGAGCTCGCCCAGTCTGCCTCTCAAGGCTGTTCTCTTGGTCCTGTAGAACAGAGAACGTGCGAGAGAGAGAGTGAGAGAGAGAGAGAGAGAGAGGGGTTACTGCCGGTCGTTCACACTGCTGTCAGACTCCCGCAGGGCCCTGCTCGAGCCTTTTCCTGTTCGACAGTCCGCGCCGCTTTCCGAGTTCATCGCCACGGCTCATCGTGCCCTCTGCTCTCTACCTGCTGCCCATCTGCGTTTTACTGCCCTTTATTCCTCGAGAGGCCTGTTCTTGCGAGTGAGGGGGCGGGACCATACCAGTTAGACCCCTGCTATCTGGCTGCTGCACCAGCGCCGACCCGGGCCTGCTCTCGCCAGCGGTCCGCAAAAAACAAAAATATATATATACAGTCCAGGTGGGGAGCTGCGTCAGCACGCGTAGGCTGCAAAGGAACAAGAACTTTTTTCAGCATGGAATAAACCTAAGAGAGAAAACAACCTCCTTCAGGTGTGAGCTCCACACCTGAAGAAGGCTCCAGGGCTGAAACGTTGCGTTTTCTTTCTTCTTCTTTTCAGCGCGGAATAAACCTGTCACTTGTTCCTTTGCATATATATATATACGGTAGCCCTGAAAGAAAACAGGCGGCCAGCGAGTATGGCGACTCCTACGAACGCCCCCAACTGGAGCACACAAATCAAACGTGAAGCACACAAATCAAACGTGAAAAAAAAGATTTCAGACGGGCAAGTCTTACACTTCAGAAGGGTTGAAACTCCAGTTTCAACCACTGGACCACCACAGGGGACCCAGCAGAGGGTCACAACACAGTCAAATTCCACCAACTTCTCTCTCCTTCTCGATCTCCTTATTTGCATTCTTCTTTTGCATTCACAGAAGCATATTTGCCTTTCTGGTTAAGGAGTACGTTCCGTGTATGAGCTGTGGGGGGTGGGGTCTGCTCCCCTTGTGACAGGCACCTCCATTGCATCACAGCGGGCACGGCTCCGGCTCATCGCTCAGCTGGGCACGGGGGTCTGCAGGCCAGTGCCACACACCCAGGCTGCTCCCTGCCAGTTCGACTCTGGGGATCGAGTGGAGGGAGCAGCCTGAAGCAGGAAGCACGCCGGCTGTGACAAACGCGCAGATGTTGCACTGCTTATTTTGGAAACAGCGTGCAACCACCCAACACGCACGCTCGCACAGCACGTGCGCGCGCGCACACACACTGCGCACGCTAGCTCCCAGCGGGCTTTCCAACACGCTGTCACGACGAGAGAATCAGAACCAGCCCTCCGCTCTCCTGAGTTCAGGTGACCCACGTCTGCCGCTTACCCAGAAGATAAATATTTCCATGGGGATACAGGCCCGGCCCCGAGCCCCGAGAAAACCTACAGTACAATCCCCAGCGCACGCCCCACTTCTGAGTCATGATGCAGCCCTGTGGTGGGCAGCCCTAATTAGTCATGTCCACTGCATCGCCTTGGCTCTTCAGAAGGTGGGATAAAACGGCCAAATAACTCTCAGACAACGGGCTTGATTCAGCAGGCCAGGATGACCTGGAGTAACCCTGCCTCCCAGCTCTCGCCAAGTCCAGCGCTCTGCGTGGCTTATCTTTCAGTAATCACCGCGGCCCGGCGGATTGGTGCGCCCGGATTCGGGCCCCATCACCAGAGGAAAACAAAGAAGGAGATCCGGCGCAAAGGCGGCGAGGGCTGCGCGGCCTGCCTTCTCCTCAAAGGCCCCGGAAAAGCACCCACTCCGTCGGAAGCGACGAGGGGGCGGGGAGCGGATCGCGTCTTTTAAAGCCGACGTCCACAGCTGCTCTCCGCCAGGCCGTTCTCTGCTGTCCTGGGAAACCCCAAGAGAAGGCAGGCGCTGAAGCTCCCCTCTTCTCCCCCAACAGGACGAAAACCCCAGGCCACCCGGTGAACCCTAAAAACCCGTCAAGCGGCGCAAGTCTATAGAGGAAAGCCGTCCCCAAACAACAGCACCACAAAAGACACAACGGCGCACAAGGGGAAGGGACTTGGCAGGGTCTCGGCACCCCGACTCCAGCTGGAAGGCACGGCGGGTAACGAGACCACAAAAACAGCTGATGAATTCAGAATGGGGCACAGCCACATCCATTCGCACACATTTAGGCACCTGGGAACTGCCCAAGGGGATAACCTGGTGCCCCCACCCAGGAGTCGAACCCGCAACCTTCCGGTTCGGAGTCCAGAAAGTCCAATTAAGTGCAGCTTAATTTCGCCAAAGGCTTTCAAAGTCAGAAGCCCCCTCCACCCGGAGAGAGCAAAATCCTCTGGCAAGCTCTCCCACCTCAAGCTTGGCGCGTTATTTCAGAAAATCACAGCGGCGGCGCTTGGAAACCCCCGAGAGCCGCCCTCGGCACTCGATGGGTGCTGCCTGGGGCGCAGATCTGGCAGGCCGCCCGCCCGCCTGCTGCACGAGCCTTAGCCCGGCTCTGCCCCCCCCTCCCCCCGGCAGTCTCGCTCCCCGCTGGGATGAAAGGTTACAGCAGGGGGTCTTGTGATGACACCGGAGACCCCCATCAGCTTTTTTTTTTTTGGGGGGGGGGGGGCGGGCTCACTGCCTGAGCCAATGCCCTCAGCCACGCCGGGTATCACATCTCACAACACTGGGGCATGGGCACGGCACCATTTAAAGCTCTTTACAGGTCATGGGGATCCCCTCCACCCCCACCAGTGTGCAGCCCCACCTGGATGATGCTCCAGTCCTCTCACACACACCAGCTCTCAGTGGGGAGGAGAGCAGAGTGATGAAGCCAGTTCAGAGAGGGGGGTTATTAGGAGGCCATGACTGGTAAAGGCCAGGGGGAAATTTGACCAGGACACCACGGTAACACCCCTAGTCTTTTCGAGTAACACCCGGGGATTTTTAATGACCACAGAAAGTCAGGACCTCGGTTGTACGTCTCATCCGAAGGACTGTGCCATTTTACAGTACAGTGTTCCCATCACTATACTGGAGCATTAGGACCCACACAGACACACACCCCCAGGACAGGACACCAGTCCATCACAGGACACTCGCAGACGCACACCCCCAGGACAGGACACCAGTCCATCACAGGACTCACAGACACACACCCCCAGGACAGGACACCAGCCCATCACAGGACTCACAGACACACACCCCCTCTGGACAGGACACCAGCCCATCACAGGA